CGGTTAATCAGTTAATAAAGTTAACCGGTTAACCGTTTCTAGAATTAATCGGTTAACCGGTTAACTCTTAATTTTAATGGTTAATTAACCGGTTAAAGAATTTTTGCGCGGTGCCAACCTCTAATTCTAACTGCATGTGAAAATCTTTCAAACAGTTTAGAAATAAAAGGAGAAATAATTAATTTAACTGAAGCAATATCTGGATTAGATAATGAATTAAATAACAAATTATGTGATAGTTGTCAAGAAAAAAAATTTGAGAAATTAACCTACAAATGTGAAGATATAAAAATAGTTAGGTTTCTTCATCAACATAAAACAGATTTAAAAACTATTAAATGGATTCCATTTAATGAATTAAAAAATATCGAGCATTTAGCTCAATGTGGATTTAGTGAAGTTTATAAAACAATATGGAATGATAATCACCACAACCTTGTAACAAAAGTTGTATTAAAAAAATTATCCTATCATAAAATTTTAGATATTTTAAACAAGGTAAAAAAATTTTGTAAATTATTAATTTATAAAAAAAAAATATATTAAGTAATAATAATTAATAAATATTATTTATTTATTATACTCTTTAGTTAAACTCATATAATTTAAAGATTAGATTTAATACTATTACTCGCTGTTACGGAATTACAAAAAAACCATATGAAAATGATTATTTGTTTGTATTTGAATATGCTGAAAATGGTGATTTACATAATTTTTTATCAAAAAGTTTCAAAGAAATTGATTGGAATTATAAAATCAATTTGTTATATTGGATATCAGTTGGGTAAGTATTTGATAATAATAATCAATTTTTTGGGGTTTGAATAAAATACCAAAATATTTAACATCTCTATATATTTTTATATATATTAATATATGTTTATATATATTTACCTTTTTTATTAAATAATATAAATTAGATTAAATGACATTCACAAAAGCAATTACATACATTATGATTTACACAGTGGAAATATTTTAATTAATGAATTAGGTAATTGTATGATAAGTGATTTAAAATTATCTCAACAAGCAGTAAATGTAAATGATCCATATGGAATATTTTCACATAAGCCATATACAAAAAAAGCAACAAATGAAAATTATTCAAATGGAACCTTTGAATACTATTTGGAACCTGAAATATTTTTACATGAATCATATACAAAAGTAGCAGTAAATCAAATGAAATCTTTGGAGTCATCCCATATTTGGGTCCTGAAATATTATCAGATGAACCATATACAAAAAAGGCAGATATATACAGTTTTGGAATGATTATGTGGGAGTTCACTACTGGTAAAAAACCTTTTCATGATAGATCGCATGATCATCATCTTATTCTGGATATTTTGGAGGGAGAAAGACCTCAAATCACTGAGGACACACCTCAATTCTATACTGAATTAATGAAAAGATGTTGGGATTCCAACCCAGAAAATAGGCCAACAGCTTTTAATATTATGGAGTGTTTAAATCTATATAAGGATATAAATAAAGAAATTATGGATTTATCAGAAGCTAAAAGACAAGAAATTATTAAATCAGGGAAATATTTAGTAGATGAAAAGAATTATAGTCATCATCCAGAATCATTCTATACAAGTCAACCATTAGGCTCATTAATTTTATATAAATTAGCTAATGAATTAAATAACAAATTAAATGCATTAAATATTAGAAATGGTGATGAATTAGTTGGATTAATTAATTTATCAAATGGATTATTCGAGACATTAAAAATCGTAAATGATTGCTTTGATTGTAAAGCAAAATTGTTAAATTATGATGAAACCAAAATTTTACTTAGTGAATTAATTGAAGTGTGTGAAAATCACTCAAACAGTCTAAAAACAAAAGAAAAAATATTTAATAAATTAGCTAGAGGAATATTTGGATTAGATAATCAATTAAATAATGAATTATGCAATAGTTGCCAAGAAAAACAATTTGAGAAATCAACATACAAATGTGAAAATAAAGAAATAGCTAGATTTCTTTCTCAATATAAAACAGATTTAAAAACTATTAAGTGGATTCCATTTAATGAAAACTAATATTGTAACTGATAGTCCAACATTCGCACTATTGGTTTCAATGCTCACTCATTTTATTACATTAGAGGTATATATTTTCACATTTGCTTTAAACTTTTATGATGAACTATGTTCATGATTACATCACACTTTATATTTATAGGAACATGTCAAAAACCTAGCAGAAGATTATATAAGCTGATCAAAAATAAAAAATACATGTATATATATTAGAGAATTGCCTGATTCTCCTCAATTGAAGAGGTTATTAAAATGAAATTTGTTTGTAATACAGTAAATCTAGTTATGTTGGTGGGGAAAGATAACACAAAAAAGTGCACCTTGCTCATATTGATAGTTTTTACTGAAAGGTGTTTTATTTTTAGTCTAATGAAATGTCAACAGCAATTTTTTGATAGTTTTTTTTGAAACTCTTCTAAAAATAATTATATAAAAAATATAATATTTGCTTTATCTGACATTTGTTTTTTCACCTGAAAAGAAAGTGAATTAAAGTGAATTAGTGACGTTTTTATAATGTTACAAGGCACACTTATTTACCTCTTTTTGATACCAATCAAATAAAAACAAAGATTCATGAAACATAATCTTTCAATGTACGAACTTGTGTGCTTTTTTTACTGTCAGTTACCATTATCTTTTGATTGGAATTATCTAATGCACTATAATTATCAGTTTGCATTTTCTTTATAAAATTTTTTTCTCTTTTAAGAAAAAAATAAAACAATCAAAGTGATAAATGTAACCATTTTTTAGAATGCTCCATGTGAAAAATAATTTAATAATAAAAATTTAAAACTTACCCTGTTAAAATCCAATAAAGCAATTCAAAGTAATATCTTTAAGATAAATGATTATGTAAATCTTTGTTATTGAATACCAGTAGATAATCATTTTCATTGTAACTCCATAGCATAGATTAATATCATAATGACATTCATTGATTACTTTTAAACTAATAATTATTTTTATGATTATCTTATTAATTATTTAATATTTAACTGGACTGGCTAATATGCAAGTATTTACCTTTTCTAAAATTTTATCACTGGGAATTATTATTTACATGACATATATTAATTAATCCATGTTGCTTAATGAAATTCGCCATATTCGGCTTTATTCGGTATTTTTAAATTCATTAAATGTAATCCATCCATTTTATAAATTATGCTTTCTGCATTCATAAAGAAATCTAGTCATTGCTTCATTGTCCTCAGTTATTATATATCATCCTTCAATCACTATACAAATTAATTCTTTGTTTAATTTATAATTATTTCTTTCTAACCATTTAAAAAATGTTTAGATAATTTATTAATTGATAATATCACATCAATTACAATCAGAACAATTTGCTATTAAATTTATTGTATTGTTTAAAAACTTTCACTGATAATTCTATTAATTGAGTGACATAGTGTGACGTTTTAGATTATTTCTATTATTAAATTTTTTTTTTTTTTGAAAGAAAAAAAAATGGTTCGCTTAGCAGCTTATGGTGGATTAAGTACTCTGCTATTTGTTACAACTATAGCGATTTCGTTTCTTCTAAGAAGTAATTTCTATGCAGCATGCATTTATTTATCAAAATCTAGTGCTTGTATGATGGTAAATTACTACTATTATAACAAGATTGATAATTTATGGATCTCAATTAGCATTTGTGAATAATTTAACAAATTTAACTTGTTAGATCCTTATGAACATGGGATTTTTCTTGACGATTATATTTGGAAAAATTCTTCAAACAATATTTTTTGGTCGTTTACGAGTAGTTGAGATTGAGGTAATTGGTATATTGATTTAATCATAGATACATAAATGAATATAATATATTGACAGATTTTAGATATATTAATAATATTCGTTTTCTTTTGATATTTTTTTACAAATAAGCATTTATATGAGAGGGCATGGTATGCGGTAACAGAAACTTGCCTTGCAATGACCATATTTAGAGATGAATTTGATGCCAAATTTGTTATAACATTTACCTCATTATTATTCTTAAAAATATTTCATTGGTTATGTCAAGATCGTGTGGAGTTTGTAAGTTTATTTATTTATTAAATCTACCTCTTCCTCCTCCTTCTCCTCTTTCACTTTCTTATTGATCTTCGTTTGATGGAAATTTAAATAGATGGAACAATCACCAGCTGTGCCAATTTCTTTTCATGTTAGAATGGTTTCTTTAATGGAAACATTATGTGCAGTAGATGCTTTACTTGTTTATCATGCTGTGGATTTAGCAATGAAAAGTAAACCAAATATGATGATAATGTTTACGTTTGAAGTAATTACGATTATTTAATTATTAATGTTTGATTTTTTTGGACGATTTATTAACGACTGATGAATTTATTATTATCATTATTTTTATTTTAGTATTCTATATTATTTGCAACAATTTTATCTACAATATGTAAATATGTATTGAATGTTATAGATATGAGAAGAGAAGAACCATGGGAAAATAAATCAATATATGTTTTCTATTTGGAACTTATAACTGGTATTTAATATCATCATCATCATCATCATCATCTTTTATTATATTATGATAAAATTAGAGAACGCTTTGCTAATTGTTAAAAAATACGTTTATATGATGCTGCAGACTTCTTTAAATTGATTATTTATTTAATCTTTTTTGCGATAATTCTAATATCATTCGGGATACCTTTACATATAATTCGAGACGTTTATGTCACAATGAGATCGTTCCTTCAAAAATGCGGTGATCTAATTAGATATAGACGTGCAACAAGAAACATGAATGAAAGATATCCCAATGCAACAGTTGAAGAATTGGAGAGATTAAGCGATAAAACTTGTATAATTTGTAGAGAAGAAATGGTTGCTGCAAATGATAATAACAATAACAACAACAATAATAATGGTGATGGTGGTGCACAACAAAATGAAAATGCACAAATCAATGGAAATGGAAATGGAAATAATAGACAAGCTAATAATAACAATAACAATAACGATAATGCCAATGCTAATTTAGGTGATGTGCCAAAAAAATTACCTTGTGGTCATATTTTTCACTTTCATTGTTTACGTAGTTGGTTAGAAAGACAACAAAGTTGCCCTACTTGGTTTGTATCCAAATTAATACCACTATTACTATTACTATTAGTATTACTATTACTATTAATTTATTACTAATTTTTCAATTTTATTGTTTTTGTGATTAATTTTAGTCGTAGACCTGTTTTAACTGAACGTAAGTAATTTGTGTATTTATAATTTTATCCTTGAGAATATATATAATATATATTTTCAATAATAACAATAATCTTCTTCTTTTCAAAGAACAAACTGCACAACAACCGCAACAAGCACCTTTACGTCCCATTCTGGCTCAAAACAACATGCCACCACCACATCATCAACAACAACAGCCACTGCAGCCACATGTTCAACAGCCTCAGCCAAATTTACCTGGAGTAGCCCCTGCAGCCGCTTTTAATAATGCGCCACTTGGATTCATAGCTAATGTTATACCAGGATTTCCACCTATTCCAGTATATCAACATGCTCAATGGCCAATCGTCCCTATTCCTATTCCCATAGTAAATCCTAATCTAAATATGAATATGAATATGAATTTTAATCCAAATGAGAATATAAATGTTGATGCCAACAACAACAACAACAACAACAATAATGATAACGCCACCGACAACGATAACAACAACAACGATAACAATAATACAATTACAAATCAAAATACCCAACAAAATCTCAATCAAGACTCTTTACAACAGCAACAATCATCTACATTACAACCTACGGTATGTATTATCATTATATACGATATATATACATATATCATATATAACAATTTATTAAAAAAAATTTTTTTACCCAAAAAAACTTTTAGGAACAAAATTCATCATCTTCAACATCAACAACGGTCAATAATTTATCATCAAATCAACAACAAACATCATCTCAAACAACCACTCCAAGGTTTTCATGGCAAAATCATACAGGACCCATCAGATCTGCTACTTCATCACAAACTTTACCTTCACAATTTTCTATGAATTCCCAACCAGGTTTAATTCCCCTTTTTCCAGTTTTTCCTCCAAGAAATGATAACAACAACAACGGTAGTGGTAATAATAATGGTATAATAAATCATGAACAAATGGATGAATTATCAGAAGAACAAAGGCGTATTTTATTAAATGGTTCACGGGAATCAATCGAAGAACTAAACAAAATTTTGCAAAATATTCAATATCAAATTTACAATAATGTGAGTATTCTTGCACAAGTTGCTAGTATTTTGCCCACAATTCCAATAACGACAACGACAACGACAACCCAATCATCAACAACAACCAATTCAAACTCACGGTCTCCGCCACCAAAAACAACTACGATCACAACGCCTACACCATCAACAACACAAACATCTTCAAAAACATCATTGAATGTAGACAATAATAATATTGTTCCCAACAATAACAATGAGAATGATAGTAATTCTGTTAAAGATACTTGTGATGATTTTATACATAATATTGATACTAATATATTAGACACTAGTAAAGATGGTGTTCAAGATAAAAAAGGTAAAGGAAAAAGTGTCATGATAACGACTGAAGAGGATGATGATGATTGGGAAAAATAATAAATATTTAATCAATCAGTAAATAGTTTAAAGAGATTAAATGACTATGTAGTTGAGATACAAAAATTAAAAATTTTTTGATATTATTTTCAAATAATTTATTTAATTTTACTCTATTTTACTTTATATTTTTTGTAAATTATTTTTATAATTTTAATTGTTAAAAATTTTTTATTTTTGTAATAAACAATAGAAAATATAGTTAATATTAATAAAAAGCGCGTTTCACGAATTCGCATGACTGGCATAATTACGCCATATTTACAAAAATGTGACACATTTTGAGGTCTTAAAAAATAAAAGTTTGTTGATGTTTAATTTATTATAAATAAACATGTTATTTAAGGTAGATAAAAAAATTTTTTTGTACAAATTTCCCCCACTTTGAAAAAAATAATGGTTTCTAAATTAAAGCTATATAATAAAATTAAAAAATCTTTACACAAAATGAAATTATTCACAAATAAACATAAATATAAAGACATTTCTAATAACAAGGTTGATGGTATCGTTAATGGTGATAATGGTAATGATGATATAGCCAATGAAATTTATAGTATATGTCCAATTTGTAATTATTATTATAATACTTTAGAAAGGTGCGATACATGCAATCAACAATCATTGATTCGACAAAAAGAAGGATGGACAAGTGGCAATAAAACAATTGATGAAATGATAAAGAGCACACAACTTGAAGCAGAAAAAAAATCCGATAAGAATAATTATCTTCAATGGATTCTATATGATGAGTTTAAGGACATTGAAGAGATTGGCGAAAGTGGACTAGTAACTATTTATAAAGCCACATGGATAAATGGTAATAGATATGTAAACGCTAATGATAAAAACAATAAAAAATCTAGTATTGTGGTGGCATTGAAAAAACTAAATAATTCGCAAAACATTTCTGATGAATTTCTCAACGAGGCAAGATATTATTATTAATTATCCGCTGATATAAATTTTTTAAAGTTGTCACTTTATTATTGATAATTTCTAAAAATAAAAAATATTTCTTTTTCTTAGTTTAAAAATTATGCTGGATTTCATCTAAATAATGATATAATTAGAATTTACGGATTATCACAAGATCCAATCACAGGAGAATATATATTTGTAATGAAATATATTGATGATGGAGACCTTCAAAATTATTTAACAAGAGAATTCAAGAATTTAAAATGGAATGACAAAATAAACATTCTTTTTAATATTATTGATGGTCTAGAAAAGATCCACGATAAAAAGATTATTCATCATTATTTAAATAGCGATAATATTTTACAAAATTACGATAATCACTATTTTTTTCTTAATACATATACCGCAGATTTGGAATTATCATGTCCGGATCAAAAATCAATAACATCATCAAAAAAAAGCAAAAAGAAGAAAAAAGAGATTTATGGTGTATTATCATATGTTGCACCAGAAGTATTGAGAGGCGAGCCTTACACAATGGAATCTGATATTTATAGTTTTGGAGTATTGATGTCAGTAATTTCAACAGGTCAACAACCTTTCAGTAATTTGGCGCATGATGCAGATCTTGCAATCGATATATGTAATGGAACAAGACCAGCTTTTTCCATCAATACTCCAAAATTTTATATTGAATTAGCATACAAGTGCATGGATGCTAATCCATACAAACGACCAAGTGCAGATAAAATTTATGCTATTATTGATTTTTGGTGCAAGAGTCAATATAATGAAGAAAAACTACTACAACAACAACACCTTGATGAATTAAGATCAATTAAAAAAGAATTTGATGAAATGGATATGGTCGAGTTTGATCCTTCAACGATCACTACGAATATTGTTAATCCAGGTGCAGTTTACGCAAACAGATTATTAAAATTTACAAATCTTCCACAACCTGTAAATTCAACTAAAGTTACAATTATTGATAATTATAGTAGAACTTTTTATTTGGATATTAACGAATTTTAATTTGTCAATTTTAATTATTTTAAATTTATATATTGTATTTTTAGATTAATTTAATTTTAATTTTAATTTTAATTATTTTAAAATAATAATGGTGTAAATAAATGTGTAAAAATATCATTAAAATTTCAAATAACAAATTAACCAATCAAAATTAGCGAAACCCCCTCAACTTTTTGCTATTATTATTATTATATATATATACTATGAATCTAAAAAAATGCCTGGTCCGCATAGTTACAGAGAAGTTTTATTTTGGTAAATAATAAAATTAATGAAAAAGCCAGTCACGAAAATAAGACATCACCTGAATCCTTATTCTATTTTCTGCTACTGACGTGATAGAATTTTCATCTTTAAATTTGATAAATGAGTACGGCAAAGATTGACTTTATTTGTTATAGAACATCCAGCTATTAAAGCAGTAGCTTGAGCACTATCATAAAACAGAAAGAGCATGATTAATATTATTAATGATAATTGATAATCGGTATATTTATTTTTTGATTATAAAAGGTGAATAAGACTAAACGCCAAAAAAAAAAAAAATACTATATACAAGTGACCATTAATTTCTGGTTTATCTTAGAAGGAGACCAGTGTCCAAAAAAAATGTTCCTTAGGATGTGCATTTCTAATAGTTTGAGTATGAAAGCACTTTTTTAATTATTGAATATATATAAAATGTGAATTTATATGGTTATGATTCATTAAATGGATGGAACCAGATAAATTGGTTATCCGCATTCAAAGTGTTTGTGTGAATTCAGCATCTGTAGAACGTTTGTGGCCTTAATGGGATATTTTATATTAATAGGAAAAACTATGTATTTTATTTAACAAAAAAAATATGATTTTATTATATATAGCATAATAAAGTTTTCACTATGAGCCAAATTCGCAGTGATATTTATACCAATGCCAAAAGAGAGATTATCAAATGAATTGACAAATAAATCAGCTCCATATTTCGACACTGATTGTTCCTGGTCATTGGATGAAAGTAACAATGATGATTTAATTGAAGGAGAATTATTTCAGGGAAGATATGATGACTTTTCGGAGAATGATGAAATGCAATTATTTCTCTTTGGAGTGAGATTAAGAAATTTATTTGAAAATAATGAATGTTTGTTGTAATGATAACTTGTTAATAATAATTAATTTTGGTTGGCCAAAGAATACACAATGTCATAAGTCATATACCCTTTATTAATGATCTATGACAGGTCATATATGCCATATCAGGCATGTCATATTATCAGTCACTGATGACTCTAAAGAATACAGACGATATGTCCAGAAGATTCAAATACTCACTTTGTGGTATTTTAACAGATAATTAAATAAATGTCATCATATATTTTTTGTATCATTATACTTCCTTTGCTAGTATCAAGGATGAAGCACTAAAAGTGCATAATTACATAATTAGATTACATACTGTTATCTTAGATGCCACCTCCATATTCACATTATCACATCCTCTACATATTCCCAGATGGCAATTTCTTGAGAGGTACCTCTGCTTATGTTCCAAGTTCGTTTATACTTTTATTCTTGTGAGCAGATTGACAAAGTCAAAAGCTCAATAATTTTCACATTACGAAAGCCGTGAGCTATAACTATGAACTTTTAAACTACAACTATACACGCAGCCCAAAGTATTTTGACATAGTGTCACATGTTTCATAAAGGGGTGTTACATTCATGTTTTAACAGTGTACTTTTGACTTTTGACATTGGAATAATTTTGACTTTTGGCATTAGCAAAACGCTTTGGGCTGCATGTATAACTACTACTATTACTAATTACTATACTACTAATGTTATTTAGTCCAATGTTTTCATTATTAAAATTATTATTATGCAATGTCCATTTCTTCAGATTGAGCTTTTGCTTTGTTACCAGTATTAGAACTAATCAATTGCTTTATTTGTGGTTCCCCCTTTCTTTTTTATAGCATGACTAATATAAATTTCAGTGTTAGATATAACACCTTGCATCTTTTTCGAGTTCAACACAAACCTTTTCCTTTTCATAAGCTTCTTGTCCCCAATGCTTCTATACCACACCTTTTAAATATAAAATTTATCTACAAGAAGTGATAACAATTGCAACTCCTTTTGTTTTCCCAGTTTTAATCAACGCAGACAACTGGTAACATAGATGGACTTTTCCTACCACCAGTTGGAATTAACACGAAAGTATCATTTCCATCTAATGCCTGATTAATTGCTTCAAGCTGGCTTTCCCTGAAGCCTACCTCCCTCAACCGATTGTCAGGTTGTGGTGGTAATATTTAGATATTGATTGATCATCAAGTAAATACGAATATAAATCCACAATTAAACAACAATTAAAGTTAAACTAGAAAAGCTCTTAAGTTCCTTGGCTTTGGTAATACTTACTAATTAATCAAACCCGTAAATCACGTAAATAAAAAGGTGTTGTACAACTCCCATTTTAAAAAAATGTATTCAACTCATTCATTACATAAGTATTATTTGTATAGTCCTGGAGAAAATATGTTGTTTGTTGTTAATAGCCAGAGGTTTTTTTTTCGTACTGATACCCTTTTTTTATCTTAAGTAAACGTGAGGCGAAATCTGTCATGCCTTTTACATTGCACAGTGATGGGTAATAACATTCTTTATCGTGATAATAAACAAACGATTGGTATATTTGTTTTGAGTGATCATTATTAACATTAAATAATTACAAGGAATGTTAAAGCAACTTTAACCATTGATGATACAATAATTTCAGAGGGAGAACATGGCTCTGGGATTCTAAGGATGTCCGGCTTCCTCATCATTTCTGTAGTTATGAGGAACTTGCTTGTGAAAGGAAATTTTTATTAAATCTGACACCTACGATCAGAGTTGATGTTGGACACGGATATTATCCTGCCTCTGTAGTTTCAAATCCTCCACCACTCTATACATTGACAATAATACTAAGTGTAAGGTCAACAACGACATCACAAATAGACATAACTTTCACCCAAGCATCTGATTTACCATCATAGAGAATGTCAAGTTACAATACACCTTGAACATATCGTATACTGTCTAATGCCATCCTTTCCTATATATAATTAATATCAGATTTGTTCATTTTATTTTTTGGGAATAATTTTAAGGAGTTCTAGACTTGTGATTGCATGCAATTGGGAAAAATAATCCTTGGGAACAGAATCATTGATTTATTTTTGTGAGCCCAGAGACCTGGATAAGACGTGCATTATTAATTATATGGCCATTTTCAAAATCGGATCCTTAAAAATTTTTTTGTTTAAATGTATTGCATAATCCATGAAGATTATAATGGACATATACAATTTATGGAGACAAATGCATTCACATTCAAGGAAATGGTTAAATAACAAAAAAAAGATAATAGTGTTTATTTTGATTCAATTAAGAGAAGAATATATAGTGATTTTAATTAATTTATATATAAAAATATAAGGTAAAAAATCACCAGGGCAAAGCCGTTGATGAGTATTACCTATTTTTTGATTTCCCTGACCTAAATTTATTCACAATTTCCAATGTTGGCATCTTCTTCACCTTATTCATTATTGATTTATTTTTTTTGATGATGGAAACTTTTTCTGCAATTTTCCATCACATAATTCACACAAGAGTTGATTTTTACAGGTTTTATAATATAATAGAATAACAGCCACAAAAGATTCACTTGTGAAGATAATTAAGTATTTGCAGTTTTGCTTTTTATACGAATAATAACTAATGAAGATTTGGTTTAATTTTAATTTCTTTTCTCATTTATACTCCTTTGCTATTGTGAGCGGCTAAGTCACGTGGTCGAAATACAATTGGCCACTGGTGTTCCTGGCCGAAAAATTTAAAAATAGTTGTTTGCCGTAATTGTTTTTGGGAGAAAAGTGAACATAAAATAACTATATATTAATATGCCATTTGACTTAAAGAGTTCAATAATTACGAAGATAATTTTGGCAACTATTAAAGTTAATTATAGCAACTATGAAAAATTAATCATGGCATTACAGATCATTTATTAAGAAGGGCAATTTATTCAAGGATATTTATTTCGCAACTATTTCGAATATTCGTAACTATTTTGGATATTCATAGTAACAATTATTTCGAATATCCATAATAGTAATAGTAACTGATAATTATTTGATTACTTCAGATATTTCGAATATTCATAACCATTTCACAGATATTCATAATCTTCTTAATTTAAAAGTATTAGTGATTTAATTGATTTAACGTTAGAAGATGAACCAACTCATGTTTATGGAGATGTCTAAAACCAATTCTGAAACTTTTCAATAATTCATCAGAAAAACATGATAAGAAGGATATACCACGTGAGATCTTCATGGCAATAACTTTAATGGCAATGGAAGAGTAATAACATGCAAGTTCAAGTAAAAATTATGAAAATACAAGTGTTTGAAATATGAATATCGAAATAAACATAAGTATTTTAAATGATTACAAGCATAATAATAATAATAATAATAATAACAACGAAATTTTTAGCAGACAGCAATGTGTACGTCCAAAAAATAATTTCTAATTTCTTTTTTTTTTTTTTTGGACGACGACATGACTATGATTATTATTATTGTTATTGTTATTGTTATTGTTATTATTTATTATCAAACATTAAAAGTACCATTTATTAATATTTAATATTAATATTAATACTAATGTTAATAAATGATACTTTTAAATAATAACAATAACATAATAAATGATAAAAATAATTCATCCTTTCTAAATGTTTATTTTGTATGTGCCAAGAAAATCAAATATGTAGTTATTATTCTTATTATATCGTCAATTATTATCAGATAAGGTTAGTGTTAGTGTTAATATTATTAGTATTACTATGATTTATTATATTTTATATAATATATAAATAATAATGTATGAAAATTATTATGTCATGAGTTGAAAAAGATCTAATCTTTAATCCTATCATATCAAATCAATCAATCAAGATGTTTTATGTGAAATTGAATAAAATTTTGGGGGAAATTCTGATTGGCTAATTTGAATTTCACGTACGTGAATTGAATTGCAAATTCACATAGATTTCATTTTCACGCAAAACAAAGACAAAGAGTTCGTAAGACAAACAAACAATTGGATTAAAAATTGAAATACCCACATCAATAAATTTCTAAAAAAATAATTTACGATAATTTGTTATTCATGTTTGACTTTCAATCATCAATAAAGGTGCACGGTACTGCCACATGACCAAAGGAACACCCAATTAATTGTTCACTAATTATATTATTATTAAATTTCCTTCTCTTATACAACCATAATAATAATGCCAATAATAAATGGTTTGCCAGTTGAAATTTTAATTTTGAATGGAAACCATAAGAAACTTTTTATATATCAAGCTCGACTTTTTTTAAAGTATGTTAGGTGAAAATACGTGGGAGGGAATAGACAATGTGGAGAAATGTAATTTCACAAACATGCAGTTGGAAAATAATTTTTAATTTCACAAACATACAGTCAGAAAATATTTTTATATATATATTAAAAATATTTTTTTGAAAAATAGTAAATTTTTATTGAAAATCTTCTGACTCGCCATCACAAACAACTTCTTTGATAATGTAAAATATATAAGCCATTCTGGGATGAATTCACCCAAAAACTCACAAATTGGTGTTAGTTACCTCTAAAAACTAATAATGAAGTATTGTGCTCAAGTCAATGGAATGACTCTTTAAAAAGACTAGCCCTTGGTTCATGGATTACAATTGACTCAATTAAACCAAACACCTACAGATTTAAATAATCCTTCCCTTTACCAGATGGAACATGGAATAATTTTAAAGATGCAATTTCTTCTAAAGAGAATTTAACTTCACCATCTTCCTTTGATGCTATTCCTTTATCTTCAGCCTCCTCTTCCAAAAAATCTCCAGCAGGAAAATTAGACTTTAACCTAATTCGGAGAAAAAAAAACAAACTATTAAAATGGATTGGTACTGTGCACGTTGGACATACAACCAATGCCTAGCTGCAATTAATAGTGATATAAAAAACAAAGATAGAAAGTATTTACATGAAAATTATATCACTAATAAATATGAAAAAATTTAAAGACA